ATGTTACCTAGAAAGGGCAGAACTTAAATTAAAAAAAAAAATACCAAGAAAGGTCTTGAGAAGCTCTATACAGTGAACTATTGATACCGAGGCAATTGCTCTGTGTTTAATACAGTAATTCACCAAGATATCGTAGGAAGGCAATACAGGAGATGAAAAATCGCTCACAGAAAAGAACCTCCCAGTAGTATTTACTTTTAAATATATGACGCGTTTCAGGAAAATTAGACTAAACAAGTGAATTTGTTTCCCTTGAGAGATCTTTGAATATATTTAATAAAATATTTGAAGGAAAGTTGAAGTCAAATCTATCCTTCTATAATGCAAACAAAGGCGCATGTCTCGTGGTTACTGATAGGTTAATTAGGTGATCCTGAAAGAGAACTATTTTGGAGTATTCTGATAAAATTGTAGGTCTTTCTGTATTTAGCACGGATATAATGCTGCATGGCGTATTTTGTGGGTGATAGTTTGGCAAAGGTGATCTGAATGTGACTGGATTCCCACATAAAAAAAATAAAAAGGCCTTTGTTAGTCTTTTCCATTAGTGAAAGAGGGAGGTCTGGCTCTTCATTTCTTTAGAAATAATCCCCTATAAAATTTTTAAAAGTGAAAGATCACACCCCAGGCACAGGGAAAGCCTGTATTCATAAAAAACTGCCTGAACGCAACGTGGTCTTCATTTGGAAGGGGCTTCCATCCCACCACTTCTCTGCTTGCAGGATTTACCACCAGCTCCTCTCTGCCTTCATCTATCAAACGTGGTTTGTAATTGTTCTCCAGAAATATCACCCATATGTGGAATACAACAGTAACAAACGTTTTTATTGCAACAGGTTCTGCAGCATGGAAGAACATCCACAGTAAGTAACCTTTTATTTCTTTTAGAGTTTGTGTTATTCAAAAATCCTGGTTCTTCCCTTTGGACCGAAAAAACTGCCAAACTATGATTCCTGATGAATATTTCTTCCCTCTCCTCCCCCACCACTCCATCTTGGAGAAAAAAAAAAAAAAAAAAAAAAAAAAAAAAAAAAAAAAAAAAAAAAAAAAAAAAAAAAAAGAAAAAAAAAAAGAAAAAAAAAAGGACTATGTGTCAGCATGTGAAGGTTCTTGTGGAGTCAGTCAGTTTGTGGTACCATGTCATAATCCTGGCTAGCATTAAAAGCAGAGGTGCAGTCTCCTGGGGGTTTATTACAGGGCTATACAGGTGTCGTCCTGCTTTTAAACACTCCAAAGCAATTAGCAGCGTTTCCATTTTAACTCGGCGGGACTGTACAGCGCCTCCCTGTGCAGAATCCAGACGGATCACGTTATATCCCAGCACCTCATAACCTTGGCTACTCCCACTCTTTTCTCCAGACGGGATCCCAAGCAGAGCCGTGCCTGCTTTCTGCGGTTGCCCTCGTTTGGCACAGGCTGGTGGCTGGGTGGAAGAGGCTGCAGGAGCCGGGCCAGCCCAGCTGCAGCCTGGTTCTGCGGGCAGCAGAGCTGATATGTGGTGCGAGAGGTCTCGGGGCAAGGGAGACTCTAACGTGGATTTTAATGCTGTGAAGGCACGGGATAGAACGGGTATCAGAGCTTAGGAGGGCAATCTTTTACTGTAGGGGTTTTCGCATCCCAGATGGTCCTGCCTGAGCTGCGCCAGGGGGACCGAGGGGAGGGCAGAAGATCCGTGTGCACCAGTAACTGCTGTTGAACCTTTCTGGCTCTAGTGAGGAGCTGGGTGCATTATTGGTCCTGGTCCTCCAGGCTGAGACCGGCTTGTCTCTCAAAGAGGGAAAGAAAGACTGCGATATTTGGAGATTCATTAGGCTGTACATTGCCCTTCCCGTTTCTGCCAGCCCGGCTCTGACCCGGAGCATGTACAGGAGAGGAGTGTTTGCATGTGTGTTTGCGTTTCCCTGCTTCCTCTCCCTGTTTCCTGATAAATAATCTGTTTCACTATATGTGCCAAGCTTCTCCTGGTCTTTTTGTCTTCCGTTGCAATATTGGTTTTCGAGTCCTATAAATATGAGCTAAAGAATCGCCTTCAGCGTTGCAATTTTAATTGTGTTCCATAGGTAACTTTCCTTCCCTCACAGCTCAGTCCTGTGCTACCAGGACGCCCTTGGCATTTTTTTACAGGGTCGGCCCTAAATGTATGGATTACTTGTTTTCTGCCAACGTACATTTAGCATACTGATTATGAAGCAGAATACAAAAAGCCTGATAGATCAAAAGTATTTTGTATGGGCAGTTGAACAGGAGGTGAATATCTAACGCTTTGTTCATCAATAACTCTTTGGCTTTGACCTGTCTGAGCAAGTCGTGCAATAAGGTGAAACGCAGGTCACAGCGTCTAACAAATATGAAAATGTGTAGTATTAAGCAGAACGGGGAGCTGCTGCTTCCCCAGCTCCATCGCTGCTCCCTGGGCAGCCCTCGGCGGGCTTGTCCGCTCTGGGGGCTGCCCCAAACGAGAGCTCTCTTTGGGGGGCGGAGGGGAGGTACCCTGCCAGTTCAGCCGGGTGGTAAATAACCCCCGCGAGGGCGGGGGGGGGATGTCCCCTCTCCCCTCAGAGAAAGGATGCGAAAGCGGGGAGAGATGCTGAAAATAGCTGGGTAGGGATTTGAAGAATTCGGGGGGAGATTAAGGATATAAAGTCGTTTTGAGTTGCACTTGCTGTGGAGGAAGCACCGCCGCAGTGGTAAGAAAGCAGACGTTTGAAAATAGCATCTCCCAGCTCAGGCACTTGGGAGCTGGAGCCAACCAAACAACCCGGTACACATCGCTCGGATAAGCGCAACACCCCCAAATCTGCCCTCCGCAGTGGTTGGATGTATCACACCCGCACCATTATTTGTCCTTATGGTGCCTGTTTTAAATAGTGGAAGGAGAAGAGGTTGACCGCAGGACAGCAGTGAGGAGCTGGGTCAGACACAATTCATGAACTTTTGTACTCCTGTGTGCCGCTGTCGACAAAGTAAAAATAATGAAACTTTGTGATATGTTTGTAAATGATTTCGGCTGACCTCTCGCCCTGCCCTTCACCATAAACGCTACGGCAGGGAAAACCTGGGAGGGTGCGAGGCTAAGGCTCGCAGGCAGATCGCGGGGATAATAGCTAGACCAGCATAATAGGATGAAGGTAAATTTGGAAACTATCTTTTTCCCGAGAGCAACTAACTCTAGCTTTTAATCTCATATTTTTCACCAACCCCTGTTTCTGTTGTCGGCTGTTTTGCTTCTGTTTCGATTTTTTAGAAATTATTTTTTATTTTGGGGGAATTTCTAATTATGGAAAGTATTTTCAGATTCATGTTAGCCTAAATATTTAAAGACTCCTTACTAAATTGCTTTAACCATTATTATTCTAAATAGCGCAATTTGACTGACCACGTCCATTTTCCATAGCGAGGGAGTAAGTGGCAGAGAATTTAAAGAAAGCGGCAGGTCTTTCTGAGAATTTGGTAGGCGAAATTCGTCGCTATGAATTGGTGGAGGGTCGTATAGCTCTATTGCAGCACTAATAAGAAGCGTGAATCTTTTCTGAAATCCCACCTTCCTGCAAATCTGTATTTCAGAGCTGAGTCCCAGCAGAATAGTTTGCATTCCTCAGAAGACAGTAAGAGACTAAGAGAATGGCAAAGACCTGCTATATTGTAGATGAAAACAGAATGTTATTACGTTGTCTATATATACCCTGTAGAACCGAATTTGTGTGATATTCATATAGTCACAGATTCGATTCTAGGGGAATATATGGTCGATGCAAAAACTTCACCTTTCTGCAGATGGTTAGAAGTAAAAATACTGGCGGAATCAAGAGGCATGTGCGTGCTGAACACTCAGAAATTATAAAAGTTTTGCTGCCTCGCTCCTATTCACTAGGTTTTAGGACGTTTCTTAAAACTTCAGTTGTCGTTCAGTCCTAACTCTCACTGACAATCTGTGAATTTAAACAGTTAAATTCACCAGAAGTTACAAAATTTCTGGGGAAAAAAAAAATACATATTATCTACCAATCAGTGAATGAGTCTTTTATAAGATACTCGTAAATTAACTAGATATGCCAGACGTTAGCAAAATTTCCCTGTCAAGGGTCCAGATCGCATCAAAATATTTACGACAGCAGCAAAAGCAGCATTCGCCTCGCTGGAATGTATTTACTTGTGCTCCAGGAATGATATTGATGAATGAAGACCGAATTTATCTCATTAAACCCGTGATATTTTTAACCTAATTAAATGACGTCTCCAGCTCAATTGATTGAACTTTAGTGGTTAAAAGTGAACTCTTTCTTGCCATCTGTATGATTTTATGTACATACATGTAGATTTTTAAAAATATACATTGGCGTTTGCGTATGTGCACGCATACGTACGCAGACGTATATTTTGAGGCTTGAAAGCGAATGAGAAGTTACTGATTGCCTAATTTTATTCAGCAGAACTAAATTCTGGTAACTTTTGGATGACCTCTGCTAGACAAAGACAGGACAGATCTATTGTACATCATATTACCCTCTTCTTTGATGGCTTTTCTTTCCCTCGCCTGCTTATCAGTTTCTTCCCTTTTAACCCCGCTTCAGCTCATCGCTCTGTATATTCCTTTCGATTCTTTTTCTTATTTTATTTAAAGCGAGGTACCAAGCCCCGGTGGCGATGCTGGCTAGCAGATCGGAGGGCAGGGCAGCATCCCCCGGAGCTGGGGGAAGCCGGCTCAGACAAAAGGCTGTGGGCAGGGCAGCGGCCGCCGCCCCGGGGGTACCCCTACACCTCCGGCACCTGGTTTGCGGGTGCGGCCCGCCGGAGAGGGGGGTCATTCGGTTCGGGGGATGTTATTGAGCGGAATCGCTGGAAATGCGGGGAAATGCGGCGGTGGGCGCCCGGCTCCCCATTGGCCGGGCCGGTCACATGCCCGCCTAACTTTATTCAGTTGACAGCAAGTAGGAGGGCTCTATGGCAGGGGAAAAAAAGACAACACGAGAAAAATTAGTATTTTCTACCTTCAGAAATTAATGGCCATGAGTTCGTATATGGTGAACTCTAAGTATGTGGATCCCAAATTTCCTCCTTGCGAGGAATATTTGCAGAATAGCTACTTAGGCGAGCAGGGGGCCGAGTACTACAGTGCCTCGCAGGGCGCTGATTTCCAGCACCAGGGACTCTACCCACGGTCAAACTACAGCGAGCAGCCCTTTAGCTGTAGCAATGCCCAGGGCTCTGCCGGGCAGCCGCGGGGTCACGGACAGGAGCAATCCGGCCCGGCGAGCCACTTCCCCGGCCCAGCAGAGCATTGTCCACCGCCTCCAATGTCCAACTCGCGAGCCTGCAGCCAGCAGCCGGCCCTCAAACCCCCAAACGGCTCCGCAGTTAAGCAGCCGGCAGTAGTTTATCCCTGGATGAAGAAAGTCCATGTTAACTCGGGTAAGGATCCTCTTCTTACTTTGCTCTTCTACCCTGCTTCCGATCGTCCTCAGCGGCGCTCTCCCGAGTCCCTGCCAGGCTCGTGGGCGAGCTTTTTAAACCGAGGTGGCCAATTACACTCGCCATAAATTTTTATTGCTGAGGAAATAGGCCGTTGGCCATGCGGGGCTTTGCCGTGCAGGATAAAACTCCATTTTAGGAGCCTTCTAGAGGCTCCCAGCCTACCTAGCTGCGTGTGCCCGTAGCGCCTGCCTCAAACGAGGGGGAAAGCAGCCCGGCCATTGTAAGCAACTGGGACGAATCCAGCTCGGCCACATGCTCGCTGCTCATAAGGTTTTCTTTTGTAAAGTCGGACCGGCAAGTCAAGATTAGCTTTGTAAAAGTTCTCCGTATTTTTTTCCCAGTGAATCCCAATTACAACGGAGGGGAACCTAAACGCTCCCGCACAGCTTACACCAGACAGCAAGTCCTAGAACTGGAAAAAGAATTTCATTTTAACAGGTACCTGACCAGGCGCCGCCGTATCGAGATAGCCCACACTTTGTGTCTCTCTGAGCGCCAGATCAAGATCTGGTTTCAGAACAGAAGAATGAAGTGGAAAAAAGATCACAAACTGCCCAACACGAAGGGCAGATCTTCTTCCTCTGGTTCAAACCCCCATTTACAAACTGGTTCCAAGGACCATCAGACTGACTTGACAACTTTGTAGAAGAGGTGAAATTTTCCATTTCATCCTTCGCTTCTGACCAGTACTGTACATAACTGACACTGCCCAAGCAGAACCTGCATGTAGCAGCTAAGGACACGAGAAACTGTCATCTTTCTTTAAGGTACTGTTGTACAAAGGAGACAAAATGACGCTACTTTGGACTTTATTTTATTTGCCTCTGCTAGCACAACCTAAAAAAGGAAAACAAANAAAAAAAAAAAAAAAAAAAAAAAAAAAAAAAAAAAAAAAAAAAAAAAGGGGAAAAGAAAGAGAGAGGGGAAAACAAACAAACCATCATGCAGGCAGTGGGAATTGGGAAAATATTAAATGAGACCTTCTGTCCTTAAAAAATAATAAATCATTGAAAATGAAACTGTCCTGTGTTTCAGTTTTGGATTCTGAAGTGAAGATTGGATGCTTTATTCTGGGATTTATACTTTTAATTGTCTTTTTATCCCATGCAATTTCGGGAGAATGCATTTTAGGCAAGTTGAGGACAGGAAATTCATAGCATAGTCTTTTATTCGAACATAAAGACTAATAATTGTGAACTTTTTTTGTGTGTGTGCTGCTTTACCTTTCTCGGTGTAATGAAAATTCTTGCTCATTTCCATAACGTCTCAGAAAGTGTGCATAGAAATGAAGTGAAAACGGGTTATTTTATGTTCTGGTAATGTTAGTGTATTTATTTATTTGTTGCATAGAAGAAAGAAGACAAAAAGAAAAATAGTCAAACCAAAAACGAGGAAGGGGAGCTGAAATACAGTATTTTTCCTTCTCAGTCTCATGAACACATATGTAGTGTTTACTTGTCTTGAACGTACACAACTTTCTTGTTGCCCCCCCACCCTTGTTTTTAAATTTCCATCTCTGTGAATAGGAAAAGTGTCCCTGCTCCTTACTGTGTGCCATCCAGAGTAAACAGGCTTGAAATCTGTTTCCAAAGTCTGCTCTGTTCAGCGCTGTGTTTTAAACCATCGATACCTCATTTAAAAATTGAAAGAAAAAAGGAAAAAGAAAGAGGCAAGACCACAAAAAACAACCCCACAAAAAACAGCAGCAACCCAGACTGAAAAATTAATGTGATTTCTGATACAAACTGAGCCATTCAAAGCTGAAAGCTGAACACATTCTTTCAATCAGATTTTATATTTCTTTTATACTAGAGAGAGATCGTCTATGTGGGTTGCTGATTTGTTTTGTTTTGGGTTTATGTTGGGTTTATGTTGGCTTTGGTTTGTTTAGTTTTTAGGCTTGGGTGGGTTTTTTAGGATTGGGTATGGGTTTTGTTTTGTGTTTTTGGTTTTTTTGGGGTTTTTTTGGGGGGGGGGGTTTCTGGTTTTGGGTGGTTTTTTTTTTTTGTTGTTTTTTGTTTTTTTTTTTTAAGAACAGTGATTGTTTTTAAGCGAACCATGACACATGACTGCAATGGCTGGAAATCTCAGCAAGTTGCTTTCAGGGAAGATGAAAGGCTTGGATGGGAGCAGAACTGGTCTAATACCCACGAATTTGTCCCTGACTGCTGGTTGCCAAAGTTTTAGTGCTCTGTAACTACCAACCCAAACCAGCTCCCGGAGCCACTTACACCTCTGCTCAGGCGGTTTTAAAGCTCAGCCCCTATCTCCTGTACCCTCAGGGCAGCCTAGGAAAGCGACCACATAGCCAAAATTGCAAGGAGGTGATCCCTTTATTAAAGAGAAAAGTGGCGAAGAAGGAAAGTCAGCAAACACTGAAGGGAGGTGGAAGAACAGGGGCTGAGTTAACGTGCCCTTCTCCAGCCTGGATGCTTCCCACTGAGAACTCACGGCTCTCTGGGCTCGCTCGGGAAAACACTGGCCAAAATAGGCTTGAATTAATTCGAAAATAAAAGGCGAGCTTTTCAACAAGAGTGTATTCGGCAACGTTAACTGTGGCCAGCAGTTAATTTCTGTCCTTTTCTCATCCCTTGAAGTCCGCAAAGTGTCTTTATGACTTGGTCTTTTGTTTTAGAGCCTGGAGAAAACTCTTTGTTCTTCCTTAGGGTTAGCCCAGTTCTCAGACTTGCACATGGCAATACTTGAATATCTCCACGTCGTGATATTAAAGATGGATATTCCCGCATTATTCGCATCATTGTTTCTATGACAAAAAGCACCGAGTTCATACATAGTAAAGACGTCTTTTTTCTGACGCCTTCACGTTGAGAAGCTGAAAAGGTATTTTACTGAAGTTCGGCTAAATTGCAGGAACAGGTTCACCCAGAGGACAAATTTTCTATTCGATTAGTTGTATTTCAGCCGGGAAGAGTGACCTCTAAACCCTTAACCTTTTGGACCCAAACTACCCTTCCCTTTCTCTAGCATGGAGAGCAGCTAGCAGCAGCGCTTGAGGAGGGAATTCCTTAGACAAGTTTTCAAGTTTTGTTACACCAGGTTCCTGCAGTAGTGGCCTTTCCTCTCCAGAGCTGCTCAAAGCCATCCTTTTGCTCTTCATACGTATCTATTAAAATAAAGAAGAAAAAAGGGTGTGGGGAAGTAAAATCCCTCTAGCTGCCCTTCTTGAAAATCCTCCTCCCGGACCCCCGCTGTTTTCCTGAAGTCCTATAAGTTGGCTGCGAGCAGGGCAAAAGTGTTATTCGAGAGAGAGCTACCAACTTTGGCATCTGTGGTACAGTCCTGGAAAATACTGGCCTTGGATAAGCAAATCCTTTCTTTGTGCTTCTAATCAACCGAGATGGCTCCCGAAGTTAAAGGACCAACTTCTGCTCCCAGATTTCCTTCCCCCGCCCACTGAAGTCAAACAGGCATGTAGCTGCGAGCAGAATTTGTCTCATTGTCTTTTGAAATGTTAATAACTCCAGGACGAGTGTTGGCTTCAGCAGGCACAGTTCTTACAGCCCTGTTTGCACGTCCCCTTTGAGCGAGGCTGGAGCACTATAGGTTCACATAGGTGTGATTGCACCGTAAGAACGGAGAATATGTGAAGTGGAGGCAGAAAGTACCAAACAGAAATAGTTTCCAGCTGCCATTGCTCTGAATGGTTAGGACTGTGTATAATAATGACCAGTAGCACCCGCTGGTTGTTATCTCCAGTGCAAAACGAACCTGAGTTGTTTTATTATTTTTTTTAATGGTTGTAACCCTCCTCCAGAGTTATTTTTTGTATGAAGGAAAGCTGATTATTTTGTTTATCACGGGTACACGTTGTGCATTGGAACCTTTGTTAAACGGTCACATTGTCCAGCACTACTCTCATTTCTGTTAAAGTGTGATGCTTTTTATAGACTTTGCTGATGTTTTGCTGCCATTGATTAAAGCGTTATTTATACTAACTGTCGCCTGTAGTTTTGATGTAAGCCCTCCACATCTGAAATAAAAAAAAGGTGTAGCGAAATAGATTCTGGTTTGTACCTTGAACAAGCAATCCGTACAAGGTGGGTCTCTCTTCTGTGAAAATGCTGGTCCCTCCCATCATTACAGTGTTAAAAGATGAGTGACTCTGCATAGCATCCTTCCAAATGTCCCTTTGAACAGGTTTGCTGTTTGCCTCAGCCATAATGGTGTGACTCTAGGCCAGGCTGGAGTCTATATTTACTTTTGGGCTGCAGTTAAAAGTGCCTGTCATCCATTTGCTGCTGCTTTGCATTTAACAAGCCCTTCTAGAATGACTCCTGGATTTCTGCATGTGGGGTAGGAGGCAAGGAGCCACACCTGAAATCACCTCGGTGCCCACACAGATGTGTGTCTTTTAGGTGAGTCTTGGAAAGAATCAATTAAATAAAGAAATGGTAATTCAAAATTGCAATGCAGAGAGCAGTTTTTCCTGAGCAGTAACTCTCACTTTGACAGCGGATATAAAAGAAAGATCACAAGAAAACACAACTTGAAGTCTTAAAACTTTGCCATGCACCTATGGCAAGCATATATTTTTTTCCTTCCCAGTGTAAGTATCTCAGACAATAACACAGCCAGGAGAAGTCTATTGCACTATTTTTGTCGTACATACTTGCAGTGAGGGCTTGTCTTCTCCTGGAGCCTCGTCAAGGCACGAATCCAAAAGTACAGTCTCTGGCTCAGCCCGGGCAGGGAGCAGGGTGCCCAGCAGAAACCATGTGCCCTTACTGCCCAAGTGCGCCGAGGGGAGGCTGGGATTGCCTTTCTAAGCATACACTCTCTAAGTTTAAATATTGAGGCATATCTTGTGATTATACTTTCTCTCTCTGGTGTTTAATGGCTCCTCCTGTTACTCCCGATACATCAATACAGTTCTGTATATTATATCACCACTAGTCGTTAAGGTAAGAATGAAGAGGAAAGGCAGAGTCAATAGCAAACCCCACTCACTGTACAGTACAGTAAATAGGGACCTCTCGGTGCAGAGCCACACCGCTTCCAACGGCCATGTTTGTTAGCCCTTTCCCCTGATTCTTTTTTCCTTTTTTTTTTTTTTTTTTTTCCCTCCTTCCCCCCAAGCCTAGAGACCAAAATAATCTTGCTAGGAACAGTCATAACAGGCAGAATTTCAAAGTGCAAGGAAGATGATAAGAATAGATTTCTACAAGTCCTGACCACGTGATTTGCGAAATAATTAATTCAGCACGTCCCTTAAGAAACACGGAGTCGTCATTAATCTGCCAAGCAAAGGACTCTATCAGACTTGAAAACTGAAGAGATCCCAAGAATATAATATACAAAGGGTGCCGTCCCTCTCCCTGCACACCTAGCTCTTGGGTAGCCGCTGAAAAAGAGACGCCCGGTACGTAAATATTTTTTACTTTTATTCCTCCTTATTTAAGCCTTAATGAACTCAGCTGTCAAACACTTGACAAATAGGGCACGCTGCTTCCTGATTTCCAGCGCGGCAGCGGCCGGGAGCCGGACCGGGCTCAAGCGATGACCTTTGCTTCCCAGGGAGCGGGGGAAAGAGGAGCAGCGCGGAGCGCCGCGGAGCGCCGCGGAGCAGGCAGGCTGATGGCCAGAGCGCCTCCCGGAGCGGCGGCTCCGGCCGCGGCTGCCTGCGCG